ATAAGCAGAAAACTTCTTCCTGAAGTTCCCAGCCTCCTAGCTTTTATCGCTCTCGAGATAATAATTTTTCCTACCAAAAGTTTCGCGGAACCATACATGGTAATCAGGCGGACTTGAGAGCTGAATTTAAATTTACGGTGTTGCAGACGAGCAAGAGACATTCTCCTAAAACTTCAACCTCCCAGCTTTCGTGATTCCCGAGATAATAATTTCACTGCCCAAACTTCCGCGGGGGTGTACGTGGACCCGGAGGTAAATATGAAGGCTGAGCTTAAGTTTGCGGGATCGCACGTGGACGGGGAACATCTTACTAAAATTTCAGCTGCCTAGTTTCTCTGGTTCCCAAGTTGAAATCCCAGGATAAAATGCACTCGGAGGACACACACAAACACACACATGAGGTCTCGGCAATATGCGTTTTGTGCAACTGTTACAGTATAAAACGCACAAAAATAAGCGTGATGATGTAGCTGTTTTTGCTCTTACCGGTATTCGCACCGCAGGTTGCTACACATCCGAAATTGATTGATTTACTGCGGTTTTGAAAACGTAACTTACAGAGGTGCCGGGGAGAGCAGGAGCGTTGGGATCTTTAGTTTGCATTTGTTTGTGGATCTGCCACTGGCGCCTAGCTTCATCACGTGCTGCCAGTAACTCCTTCGCAGTCGGATAAAGTATCAACACCTTGCTGTCGTTACGATCACGATTCAGAACCGGTAACTCAAAGAAATGCCATGGTTCCTGGCATTTCCATCCAACATACTAAAATGGATCAGCCAAAAACTGTGTATTCTCTCGACGCCGTCATCATCATTATTAGGTTTCTAAATCAGAAATTTTCCACAATTTAGGAAGCTAATATTTTTCACTTTCGTATTCCAGGGCCATGACAGCACAACAAGCGAATGAGAGGGACAGCACAAAATTTTGCGCTCTGACTGTAAAGGTTTCACCACAAATCGTCTTGACCACGGATCTTTACCGAGCAAAACCAGTTGCCCGCTTGATAATCGCTGCTGTTATTGTGGGCATTAGGCATTTTGCCCATCAAATTCCAAAAACAAGTTTTAAACAAAACAATTAAATAAACCTACTTTTTCTGGATGTGTTCTAAAATAAAGACGACGCTGTCCTTGGATGTGTGCGGATAAGTTGTATTTAACCAGCAAATGCTGATTATCCACAGTCCAAATTTGGTCAGGATCGCACGTCTCTAGGTCCGCGTAACGAATTAGAAATGTGCCTCTCTAAAAGACA